CGCGAGCGACGACTTCTCTCTGCATCACCTCGGTAGCGTGCACCAACTCAACCATGGCTCGACCAAGGGTCACCATCGAATGTTGTATTAGCTGAAGGGGGATAAGCATCGCGACGGCTGCCTCGACAAACAGGTTCCACGATGTCATCACGGTCCGGGCGGCGAACATCACTTGTTCTGGCAAACGGTATTGATTAGGCAAGTCAAATGGAACTGCTGCCCTCGAGTCGATGAACCGTTGATCCGGGAATCGGGAGAGGCTCTTAACGAGCGAGGCCTTCCTCCCCAGATTCACGGGAACATATGTCGACGTTGCAACCCGGTGGACGGGAGCCAAGCTCTCGTCGATCAGGACAGTTTTCGCCTCTTTGGCCCTCTTCTTCTTCGAAGGTGACGAGGGCCCACCTCGCTCCCCCTTAGAGTTGGCGTCGAACTTCTCTGGGCCCTCGTCGCGAGCCCGACTTTTCTTCTGACGGGGCTCAATACCGCGTTCGGCCTGGTTACCCCACGGTCAGCCTCGCAGCTGCGGCCACCAGCCCAGCCACCAGGTCTTCCATCGCGGCCGCCAGCTCAGCCCCCGCGAGCAGGGCCATTCGTCGTCGCGGCGCTTTCAGGCGCATTGGCCTTTAGTGCTATCGAAGCTGAAGCTGTCGGGGTTGGAGGAACCGCGGTGGTCGTCCCCGCCGAACCAAGACCCGAAGCCTTCTTGCTTTGCTTCATTACGAAACTCAAAGGGCTGGCCATTTTCTTTCTTTCCTTCAAAGGTTTAGGGTTAAGCGCGAGCGTATTTGTTGGCCTCCTTGACTGAATGGAGCCCGCACAATCTGAATATTGGGTAATAAAATGAAATAGGGAATGAAGAAAGAATTATGAAAAGTCCAACAGAATTACTGATGTAAACAAAAAAACTCGCCCTTACCGGGAGTGAAGTAGTTGTTACTAGATTCGGGACACAAGCCATACGAGGACAAACTCTCTTCAGATAAAAGGTCCCGGTAATAACGCTTCTCCTGATCAAGTCCGAGCAAGATGCCGGCCTTCTTCGCCAAGTCGTCACTCACGTCAACTCTGGGATTATGGACTGAAAATGCAAACACCAACCTGTTAACGCTTCTCTGACCAAGTCCGAGCAAGATGTCGACCTTCTCTACCAAGTCGTCACTCATGTCAACTCGGGGATTATGGACTGAAAATGCCAACACCGACCTGTTAGCAGATAAAAAAAACATAACTAGAAGAGCGACAACAAAAGTAAAACTCACATTTTCCGTAATACAACTCGTGGAAGGGTGTTGGGCTGCATCTGGAGTCCTCCATTCGCTGCCAACCCAAAAGCATTTCGGCATATAGCTGTGTAAAGAGTCAGGGATCGTGTATACAATCGATTTATTGAGAGACCGAGATGTAGTAATTGTCGGTCTACCCATATTTCTTGAAAACCAAAAGGGCCTTCACATCGTCGCTCGTCGGATCGGACCAACCCTATTGCCGAAAGAGGACAATCAAACCCATCAACTTGGCGAAAACAGTCGACATGCCAATGTTGAGGTCAATCAGGATATTGTTCAAAACGTCAGGCAGGGGAAAGCGAAAATCAAGCCGAATACTGGAGCGGTAGACCTCGATACAGCCCGACGGAGGGCAATGGATACGCTCCCCGGCATAATGAGCAAATATATGGACCCCAGATCCAAAGCTGACCTTTACCCTTAGTTGGGCAAGGTTGACGTCCCCTAGGATCGACGGGGTGGACCAAGCCGTCGCAACGGAAGGAGTCGCCCAAGCGCGCGGTGGGCGAAACCAACTCCCTAGGAGGGGGGGGGGATGGAAGTCGCAGCCTCAACCGCAGCATAGGTCTCGGCGTATTCGCGACCTATAGGGACGCGCTCCCGTCCTTGGGTGTCGCCCTGGAGTGTTTCATTAACAAGGTCCAAATCGATGTCGGACTCCTCCTTGAGAGAGCCGATGTCGGAGTTACCCTCATCTCCATCTCCGCCAACTGACTGGCTGGAGCCGAGGTCGATATTCTCGACATTAGAGAATTTTGGAAGTTCCTCTCCAGTTGCGCGCGGGACCGTCGCTGCAGTCAGTTGGGTCACCTGAATGGTCGAAATCGGCGTAACCCGAAGTGGTTGCACTGCCTTCACCACCGGTGGAGAATAGACCATAATCTCGCCGGTCTCGCCGTCGTACACTACTCACTCTCGCTGGAGTGACTCACCACAGAACCTGAAGGACTCGGCATATCGAAAGATAAGAAAAAGAAAGAGCGGGAGAAACGTAAATTGCCGATATGAAAAATGTCAAACACCGCTTCGCAAATTTCTTTGAAAACTCTGAAAATCGCTCGCTCAAAATCGCAGGAAAAGTAAAACCTCTACGAAGGAGAAGGAGATATATATAAGTAGGAGGCTTCGACCAGTTAAAATGCGACACGTGGCAAACTTTTGAAATTCAAAAAATTTAATACCAAAACTGTTCAAAGTGAACAGTCACGATGAAACAATCCAATGGTTCTGGGACGACCACGAAGGTGCCACGTGGCCACGCAGCGACCCTCCATCAAAATGACATGATGTACGACACGTACGAACCGGATGATGCCACGTGGAAAGGTCCTGAAACGGCCATATCACATTAATTGACCCGTCTCTTCAGGTTACGTTGTCAATGCGCGGCTGTAAGAGAGAAATTTTCACAAAGTTAAGTAGAGGGGCCGAGCTCACAAGCAAGCAAATAAGCCAAAAAACGATCTGGAAAAAACGGGACATATCTCGAAACGACGACCTTAGACGAGACGCCGGAGACATCTCATCCAAGCTCGGGGGCCTGTATGTTGACATCCGAGTTAGCCGAAAGGAGACAACTCCAAAAGCCGAACCGGGAACCCGATCGAATGTGCAAGTGCCGAGCTGAACTCGAGACTAAAATATTCGCTGCCGCCGCGTGATGCCACACCTGAGGTCAGCACCCAGCTCGTTCATAAGACGATGCCGATCTCATCACGCCGAGCTGAAGAAAGAATACTGAAGGTTTACAGAAGATATTGTGCACGAGAGCCGACTTGGAAATCTTGTGTGGCTACCCACAGAGACGAGCGCAGAGCTCGATAATAATATAATACTGCCACTTGGAGGGTTATCATTGACGATTAGACAAGCCGTCATAGTCTACCACCTTCCAGCATCTAGCCAGACCATAAAGCCTGCCAGCATTAAATGCTCACCATATGTGCATTAAATGTCTAACAGACAATGATTAAGAAGACCTTAAATCGCATTTAATAACTATCAGAGCGGCGCCGTCCTGCCCTGCAACAACACCGTGCGACAAGACCGGTGATCAGTGCTTAAACAGTTCCACATTTAAGAATACTATAAATAGGAGCCCATTTCTTTTATTTTGGGTTGTTGAATCTTTCAACTACTACTCTCTCTCTCTAGAATTATGTAATAAATTTCCTGTAATAATTCTCAAGTACAACAAAAGTGTCGACCTCAAGTTCAGAGGCCGACCTCGTAATTATATATAAAAAAGGAAAAACCAATCAAACCGTATTTTTTCCTTGTTTTCTATTTCTTACTTTCATTACATTATATTTTAACCGTTGATTGGATCCGTTCGTCAACCAGTACGAGAATAGAGAGAGGGAGAGAGAGAGAGAGAGAGAGAGAGAGAGAAGTATGATCCCTTCCTATATATTAATTGAAAACAAGTTGAACCTAAGTTGCAAATTCTCATGCTTCGGATGACATGACGAAAATCTTTGTTTTGTAATGTTGTTTTTTATATTCATTTTTGTTCAGGAGTTAAGCTTGGTATTAGACATAAATAACTTTTTTCAAACTTGGTAAGTGTATATTTTATTTTGTTATTTTTTTTCTCTTAGTACAAATTTCCTTCTCTGTTTGTGCAAGTAACAATCTTACAATATTATAATTTTTTCTCATATTTCTCTCACAAATTACGATGTACAAATCACTTTCTGCAATGTCTATTCTTGTTTTTTTATCAATTAGCCCATCAAAATTTTTTAAAAAGAAAAATTTTTTAGCAGTAACTTTTATCATATATTTCCAACACCCGTGTAGTATACGAGTAGTCTACTAGTGTGAGTATTATTTATTGAAAATATTTGAATATGTTAAATTTGCATTATCCCTAATTATAAATAAGATCTAAAATGACAACTATTTTATAACAAGTGAAATAAACATTAAATATATAAATCATATATTAAATTATTATATATCATAAAATAAAAGAAAAAATATAATTATTGATAATCAAAATTATTTTTATACTAATCAATAATCTTTCATTACTTTAATGTATGCAATTATATATACTGTCCGTGCATTAAATACTAGTGTATAAAGTAATAGATTCATATTATGCCAAACTTTACTAGGCTGTAGTATTTTGTTTTTAATTAGGGCAAACATTAGGGGTATCTTTCGCAATTAAATTTATAGGAGATTTTACGGTCTCGTTACGGAATCATTTCCGTCAGGGTTTGTAACCATTAGATGAACTATTCACAACGTTTACATGATAATCTAACGATTACAAATCTCGACAGAATGATTCCGTAACGTGATTGGAGCATAACTTCATTCACAAATGGCAGAATTGTGAATAATTTGAAGTCTCATTTTTTGACTCCAAAATCCCATATTTGTCTCCCATCAGTTGCATACTTGGCTAGTTACATTGTACCTGGACTCAATCCAATATGCCAAAAATTGTAATTACGTCCACGATTTTTTTCATAATTATATTATATTTATTTTATCTAGCCACCACTATTTTATTTATTATTTAAACCGCAAATGTGAAGTGAGCATATGATACCTCCTCACTTTCCTTCTTTCATTTCTATTCAAAAGTTGATTTCTGTCTCTTTTTTTATTTTTTTTAGTTGTTATATATTTGAACTATATTATTTATTATAAATAGCAACAAGTTTGGCAAAAAAGAAGAGAAAAAAAAAAAAAAAAATGTTGAGGGAAATTACAAAATTAGCCACTGAAGCAGGGATTGATGAGGCTTCCAAATTTGATGACGATGGCCGCGCAAAACGGACTGGTATTTGCTTCATTTATTATCTATTGTTTATGAAATTTTTGTTCACTAAATTAAATAATGAGACTAATATGAGAGTTTTTTTTTTTTTTTTTGAATGATTTTTTTATTTTCTTCATCCACTTTGTTGGAGTCTTTCGGTGTTTGTTTTTTGTGTGTCGTGTGTTGGCGTTAGGCTGCTTTAGACTACACTCTGTGTAGCTCTCCCACTTTCAGCTTTTTGGTTGGCTTTTTCAGCGAGTTCGCTGTATTGGTGCTTGTAATTTGTGTTTTATGGTATAAAATCTATCGTTTGAAAAAAAAAAAAATAAGAATGATTTTTTATTTTCATTGCAATCTCGTACAGGGAATGTGTTGACAGCAAGTGGGCACATAATAACAGCAGTAATAGGCTCGGGTGTGTTAGCACTTGCATGGGCCATTGCTCAACTGGGCTGGATTGCTGGGCCCATTGCCCTGTTGGCCTTTTCTGTGATCACTTGGTTCACTTCCATCCTATTGGCTGATTGCTATAGGTCAAGTGATGGCAAGAGAAATTATACCTACATGGAAGTTGTCGAATCCCATTTAGGTCAGTTATATTATACTCCATCACAAATGTCGTTTTGAAAAGCTGCACAATAATTAATAAGAATATTTTTTTTGCCACTAATAACCCTTTTTAACAAAGATGTTTCGAGAAAAGATGAAGAGTGAATATGAAAAGACGTGATGTATTTATTAGCTTAACGAGGGTAATAATGGAAAAATATGTCCAAAAGATCCGAAACGTCATTTACTGGTTACTGGTTGATAAAGCCAAATTGATATTTAAAAAGAATATGAGGTAGTATTTGATTTATGGGTAAAAATCTGGCAAAACCATTGGTTATGAGAACATTTTTTTCACTTATACTAGCTTTAAGTCCAATAAAAACATTTAATGTTATAAAATTAAATGAAAAATGCAGGAGGTTCAAGAGCTCACCTTTGTGGGATTGCACAAAATGGCATATTTTTTGGTGCAAGTGTAGGATACACAATCACAACATCTATAAGCATGGTGTAAGTAGACACAAACAATTTACTTGTGTTCTCTTCTGATGTGAAAGAACAAAAAATAAAATAAAATTCATATGTGTATAAAATAAATAGCAATTTGAGTGAAACAGGGCCATGAAGAGATCAGTTTGCTTCCACAAACAAGGACATGATGCCGGCTGTCACGTGTCGAACAATCCTTCGATTATGGCTTTCGGATTAATACAGTTAGTGCTAAGCCAAATACCAAATTATGAAAAGCTCACGTGGCTCTCTCTGCTTGCCGCTGTTATGTCGTTCGCGTACTCGTCTATTGGACTTGCTCTCTCTATAGCCAAGATTGCAGGTTTGTAACATATAAAAGGCCTGAAATATTCATTTTGTAACTAGGCCAAGTTTCAGGACAGGTTTTGTACTTGTCCCAAAGCCAAATGTACATGTTTTACGATCAAATGCTGCTTGTTCTTCGTTTAATTTGTTTCAAACGAGTCGAGGAGAAAATAGATATGCATATGAATGTGCGGTGTCTTTTGTAAATACAGAAGACGGAGGACATGTGGAGAGTACCCTCACCGGAATACCAATCGGAGCCAATATGTCAGGCATGGACAAGATGTGGAATACCTTTAATGCCCTTGGAAACATTGCATTTGCTTATACTTTCTCTCCTGTCCTCATAGAGATACAGGTAGGCACCTCTACATGTTCTTTTGAAAATTTTTATATCCCATATATGGTCTAATTTTTTTCAGTAAAAGTAAAAATATAAATTGTCCTTGTTTAGGACACGATAAGATCGGGAGTCCCGGAAAACAAAGTGATGAAACAGGCGACTCTAATCGGAATCTCGATCTCCACCGCCTTTTATATGTCATGTGGGGTTTTAGGATACGTCGCATTTGGCAATGATGCGCCTGGAAATTTCTTAACTGGTTTTGGATTCTACGAGCCTTTCTTGTTGGTCGCTTTTGCTAATTTGTGCATCGTGGTCCATCTTGTCGGAGCTTATCAGGTCAAAAACATTCTATACTCTCTGATTGTTCGTCTTGAATTAGCTCTAACTATTGTCTATTGCGTATGTTCTGCAGGTATTTGCTCAGCCACTATTCATATTTGTGGAGAATTGGAGCAAAGAGAAATGGAAAGGAAATAAGTTCATCGATGCAGAGTTCCCCATTGCTTTCCCATTCTGTGGTAGATTTAACGTGAGTTTATTCAGGCTCGTTTGGAGGACGATTTACGTCATTTGCACGACGGTTTTGTCCATGATATTCCCATTCTTTAATAACATCGTGGGGCTCATTGGGGCTGCCGCATTTTGGCCACTGACAGTGTATTTTCCGATCGAGATGTACATTGCGAGGTCGAAAATCGCGAGATTCTCTTCCAAGTGGGTTTTGATGCAGACGATAACTGTCGTTTGTCTCGTCGTGTCTCTTCTTGCGATTGCTGGCTCTGTTGAGGGTCTGGTGACTTCTGTTAGGTCCTTCAAGCCTTTTCATTCTGTGTCTTGAACTGATTAATGTGGTTTGTACCAAAATACTATGGTTTTTGTAATTCCAATTATATATACCTGCATTTGTTGTTATTGTCTTATTATTATTGGATATTTTTTTTATTATTATTATTTTTTTTTTTACAAAGTCTTCAACAACTTAAAGGGACATTATACAAAAATATTATGGCCTATTTGATTGGAATATGGTTAAGAAAATGATAAGTGAACTAATCTTAAAACACAAAAAATCTACATATATACTAAGTTGAAATTAATATATGATAAAAATAATAAATGAAAATAATAAATTAAGGGCTATATGTAATTAAAAGGTGTTTTTAAAGCACAATCTCCTTAACTAATTTTTGGTCCATTAACTCAACGGGAAAGTAATTTTAGTCCATGAACTATATTTTACTTTATTTTGTTTTTTAAAATTTGGTCTAGTTTGACTAATAACTAAAGTTCATTGTAGCCCAAAATAATGCGGTTCTGAGAATAAATAACACGGTATTATCAATCAATTCAATTAGGCTAAAATGCATTTTTTGTCCTGAGATCTCCTCGAGTCCTCTTTTATAGGTATGTGGCACATTTAGTCCCGCAATTTATTTTTTTGACGAAATTTAAGTCCTTCTCATGTCAATTTTGGGGATTTTTGGCCGGGAATTGCACGTGTCGGCCACGTGACTCATTTTCACCCGGCTAATGTCGATCTGGCCCGATTCTTGCGCGATGTGGTCTGCAACCTGCTCGACGTGGATAATAAATACAATAAATTTTTTTTTAAAAAAATAAAAATAAAAATGAGATGGCAAAGTACATTGCCACATCGGACAAAATTTGGAGGGAAAATGGACGGTCACTACTAAGAAGAAAGCAGACAGACGGTCTTTCATTTTATTTTTTTCGATTACAGAAATCTCCCCCTCTAATTCCATCCCAAACTTATACAAAATCCAAAATTATAGATGTCCGTGAGTTTAATCTATGGAGACGAGAATCAAAATCAAATCGAAAAGTTACTGGGATTCCCCCAATCCAAGCTATGGTATGTTATTTCAAAACCCTAGTCTGTTTTTAGGGTTCTTTATTATGAGGTTGAAATCATGTCACTTTCTCCGATTTTAGGGTTGTTTATTCCAAATTAGTTGACCCCATATGCTATTATGTCTCTTTATCTATTTCAAAAATGGTCCCCCACCTGTTTTTGTTATTATATTGGGTGAATTATTTATTGTCTATTTTTTTTTTCTATATGCATGAATCGAAGTACTGACCTAATGACTGTCATCTTGTGGTGTGGTGGTAAATTCTAAAAGTCAGACTTATGAGTGCATAAAGGTGGCCATAAATGGTGTTTGATTTTGAGCGCATTCTACTACTCCTTAGAGCTATTCCATTATCAAATTGGTTGTGTGCACAATGTATAGAGCGAGATTTACATATAAATGACTCTCTCCAAACCTACCATAACTATATTTGATCCTACTAATTGAGCTTCAATGACAAGCATGATATGCAAGACTCGCCCATAAAGGCATATAAAACTATTTTTACTATTTATATATGCAATATGCAAGACTCGCCCATAAAAGCTGTGTGTTTTTCTTTTGTTTTGTTTCTGTGTTGGTTTGCGTACTAGGTTCTTAGGCCCAGTGGTCCCTTGTGTTTTGTGTTGGAGTTATCACTCCCATGCATTAGTTTTCTATTTCATGATATTTCGTTTTCTGTTTTCTTTAGTAAGTAAAGTCGTGAGTATGCCTCTTTTAGTTGGAACGTTTTATATTAGGCATTACGGCGTCGTATAGCGTGCTATTGCATGAAGCACGTGTATGTACGTACACTATAAATATTGTCGTCTTCTACCTTTCTCTTTTTGAGGATTATGAAATACAGAAAATGAGGTGTTCCTCAATTTTGCGAGTTCTTAATTTTCACATGGTACCGGAGCAGCTTTTCTGGAAAATATAGCTGCAGGATAAGAAGATTCACGATCCACAAGCCTGATTTAGGTCAACATTTCAGATCGGAGAAGGTACCCTGAGATTTGTAAGCTCTATCGAGCTCAAGTACAGAAATGGATCAGAAGTGGAGCAATCCATGGCCGCTACTCACAACAAACACCGTGGAAGGATCGAAGAACAACGAACCAGATCTGATGCTCTTGCAGACATCAGATAATCCAGGATTGATGCTGGTCTCTCATCCACTTACAGGATGTAATTTCCTTCCATGGAAAAGGTTGATAATGATTGCTTTAGGAGCTAAGAATAAGCTAGGGTTTGTTACTGGTGAAATAGCTAAACCTAAGGAGAGTGATGAAAATTATTCTGCTTGGAGAAAGGTGGATTGAATGGTTATATCTTGGATTTTGAACTGTCTTACAAAGGATATTGCAGAAACCTTTGTTTATGCTGATACTTCGAAGGAATTATGGGAGGAAATCGGTAAGAGATTTGGTGAAAATAATGGACCAATGAAATACAAAATACAGAGGGAAATAACCAGCTTAACTCAAGGAAATAACACGATTATGGAATATTTCAGCAAGCTAAAGAGATTATGGGATGAGTTTGCCTGTATTGTTCCCTTTAGAAGCTGTGATTGTGAAAAGGGAAAGTTGGTGTTACAGCAGGAGGAAGAAACTAAACTTATCCAGTTTCTAATGGGGCTTAATGATAGCTTTGATCACTTGAAGAACCAAATAATGCTGCAGGACCCTCTGCCAACAGTGAACAAGGCTTACTCTATGGTGTTGTCAGCAGAAAGGCAGAAAATGGTGCAGAATGTGTATAGTGAAAACTATAATGTAGCCATGACTGTCAACACAGGAAGTTTTGGTAGAGGAACTGGGGGACAATGATGGAGAGGTAATGGAGGAGGAAGAGGAGGTGGAATGCAGTGGCAAAGAGGAAGGGGTAGAGGAAATTTTAGATTAACAAAGGAAGAGAAAGCCAAATTGGTGTGTGAGAAGTGTGGTATGAGGGGTCACACAATTGGGAGCTGTTTTAAGGTGCATGGAGTACCATATTGGTACAGAACACTCAAGGAACATCAAGGACAGCCCTATGCCAATGCAGTGGATGTGCATGGGAAAATGGAAATGCAGACACAAGGAAGAAATGCAAATGAGGGAAGCAAGAGTAATGATCTGACAGCAGTCATCCAACAACTGAATGAATTAACTCAGTACATCAAAGGGAGAGAAAATGCAGAAAGCAAAGTGGATTATGCTCAATTTGTGAGCTTCTCAAATGTAGATAGTGAGGAGGATGTGCAGTATGCATTAACTACTGTTGAGAGGAGCAACAAGAATGATTGAATAGTTGACACAGGGGCAAGCAGACACATTTGCAATAATATTGATTTGATGAGGAATGTTGAGAGGCTTAAGAATCCAATATCAGTTTGTCTTCCAGATCGAACTTTGAAGCCAGTACACAACAAGGGATAAGTGATAATAAATGGGAAGTTGAAGCTGCAAGATGTTTTGTTCATGCCACAGTTCAAATACAATTTACTATCTGTCACACAGTTGTGCAACAATGAGAATCTAAAGTGGTGTTTTACAAGTACAGACTGCTATTTGGAAGATCAAAGGAGTAACAAAGTTCTTGAATGTGGAAAGTTGAATGGGAATTTGTATATACTAAAGGCTGATGAGAGAGAGGAATTTGCTGGTAATGTATCTTTTGAAACATGGCACAAAAGGCTGGGACATGCTTCTTACTCTACTTTGAAGCACATGAATTTTCTCAGTCATAAATGTAATGAAGAAAATGAGAAGGTTATTCATGGATGTGATGTGTGCTTAAGGGCAAAACAACACAGGGAGCCCTTTACAAGGAGTGATATGCAGACAACAAGGGCATTTGAACTTGTGCATATTGATATTTGGGGACCATGCAGAGAGCAGGCTATAACAAACACACCCTTCTTCCTTACCATGGTGGATGATTTTAGCAGGGCCACTTGGGTCTACCTAATGAGTCATAAATCAGAAACTAGAAAGTGGATTAACACCTTTGTAAACATGGCAGAAACACAGTTTGATTGCAGAATCAAAAGAATGAGGTCAGGTAATGAAAGGGAATTTCTAGAAAAGGAGTTACAAGAGTTCTTCCATAGCAAGGGCATCCTTCATGAAACCACTTGTGTGTATACACCGCAACAGAATGGTGTGGTGGAGAGAAAGCACAGGCACCTGCTTGAAGTGGCTAGAGGATTAATGTTTCAGTCACACCTACCTATTCAATTTTTGCCTCTATCTGTTTTAACAGCTGCCTTTGTCATTAATAGAGTGCCAAGTTCCTTACTGAATTGGGAAACTCCATTTGGAAAATTGTACAAGACATCACCTGACTATGAGAGGCTCAAGCCATTTGGGTGCTTAGCATATGCAGCTTCTACAAATCCAGCAAGATCCAAATTTGCACCAAGAAGAATTAAGTCATTGTTTGTTGGGTATGTCATTGGGAAGAAAGGATTTCAGTTATATGACATGGAAGAAGAGAAGCTTTTTGTGGCAAGGGATGTGGTGTTCTTTGAAGATGAGTTTCCATATAAAAAGAAAGAAGTGATTGCAGGAACTCCACTACCTCTTTCCATTGTTGAGGAAGCATCTTCCACTGCCTCTGAAATGGAGTCCCATAAAAATCCTTTGGAAGCAGAACAAGAGGTCAATATACCACGTAGAAGAAGCCATAGGGTGAGGGAACCACCTAAATGGCAACAAGATTACATTTGCTCACAAGTAACACATGACAGCCCACAACATAATGGTTCATTTATGGCTTTCGTGGGTAATGTGTCATTAATAAGGGAGCCTACACATTATGGGGAAGCATGTAGAAGCTCAACATGGGTAGAAGCCATGGAAAATGAGTTAGCAGCCTTGGAAACTAATCATACTTGGGTGCTCACTGCTTTACCAGAAGGGAAGAAAGCCATAGGGTCTAAGTGGGTCTACAACATAAAAAAGAAGGCTGATGGAAGTGTTGAGAGGTATAAGGC